TGCCATGTCACGCGCCCTGCCGCCATGTCGCACGCCCTGCCGCCATGTCGCGCGCCCCGCTGCCATGTCACGTGCCCGCCCGCGCCTGCCGCCTCCCTCAGCGCCCCCTGCTCGTGGGAGAGCTGCTTGGGGCCCTGACTCTCTGCCTCACGGTGGGAGATGTGCTTGAACTTTGGCCTGAACACCTCGGCTCTGACTAGCGCTACGCTGATTTCTCCTGGAGTTGCCTTGTTTGGGGAGCACTGCCAGATGCTTGGTCTGGTGAAGGCAAGCAGCTTTTTCTGCTGAAAGGGTTGCTGCGGGTCATCTCTAAAGAACCCAGGCTGCTAACACTTCTGCAGCCAAATGGATCGTTTTGCGCATTGTTCTTGTGGTTTACTTACTCCTTACAGATCCCGGGTGCATCTCTAAGAAGGTGTAGGTTCTAAATACCTTGATCCATTTGCAGGTCTTCATCTGGCCTTCTAAAAGTCAAACCCAGTCCAACCCAGCTTGCTTTCACAGAAAATTGCAAAATGAGACACCAAACCTTGCAGAAGAATCAGCTAGATTTTGAAATCTCAGGCTTTGGATGTCCAGTTCTGAAGCCTTGTAAAATAAAAAATAATAATTAAAAAAAGTGCCTCTGCTGATGCTGCCTATTTGCTCTATATGATTATGCAGTTTTAAAGTACCTCAAATTAAATGCCCCCAAAATATTAGGTGCTGTCCCTTTTGCTTTTTGGTGTTTTATATCTGAAGAAATGAGTTGAAATACAGGCGGGAGGGAAATAGGCTGGCAGCACCGAGGTTGTCCCTGTTGTGAATACTCTAGGATTACTCTAGGATTTGCTAGGTTTTTTTTTGGTCAGACTCCGCTGTTCAATTATGTAAGCAATGCTATGGTGGGATGCTGCAGCTTTGGATTCTAAGACCATATGGCATTGACAGGTGGCGGCTCGCACCGGGGAGTCTGGCGTGAGGAGGAGGACCCAGGCCATGTCCAGGTCTGCCAGTAAACGGAGGAGCAGGTTTTCTTCTCTTTGGGGGCTGGATACTACCTCAAAGAAAAAGCAAGGGAGGCCAAGCATTAATCAGGTAAGTGGGGTGAAATGTGTGATATTTTCAAGGCTTATTGGTTAGCATGCAGAGCGTAGCTCGTGTGAAGTGTCACTTATGTCAAGCACTGGCACATCCAGACTTCAAGATGGCTGTTTAATCTTTCACAGTGCGTAGTCCATCCTCCTCAAAAATCAGTAACAGTAATTACAGAAAAAATATATAGCAGCTCCTGTTCAAATTAAGTTTGACATTCATACCTTTTCTAGCTGAATGAGATTCATTTTTGCTGTTTCTGCCTTAGATACTTGCTCTAAAATCAAGAACGAACCAGCAACGAAGCAGCAGAAAAAAACAGAAACAGGAACAGATACTCGCCCTTTTTTTTAAATTAAAATTTTAATTTGTAGATTATGATCAACATAGCTTAAGTTGGGGAAAACTTCCTAACATAACAAAAAGTTTTGTGTTTAGTAGGGAGAGTCCTGGTTTTCCTTAAGATGTTTTAAAAAGCAAAATCTGAAATACTTCCACCCAGTCACTCCCCAGATCTTTTGCTACAAAATGGGTTTCAGTGTGGGAGAAAGGTACTTCCCTGTTATTCTTTCAAAACATCCCTAATTACAGCTTTCAGTTTTTGAGAGCTATACCTCATCTAATTGCAGGAAGTGTAGGCTTCTCTTCTTCTTCTTTCACTTTTTTGAGGGGAGAAATGGCTGGGGCATGTTTTGTTTTGTGACCTCTGATTTCTTCTCCCTTTTGTTAGAGCAGCAGTGGGTGTTTGCCTTGTTTAGCAGAGGATACGTTGTAGAATTGTTAGGCTTGTTTTCAGTGAGACACTAATAGTTTACCATTAGGGAAAGTAGTGGCTGAGCAAAAGATTTGTTTTTCACTATATGCTAGCAAATGCCTCCCTGAACAAATTCTGAAGTCCTTGTGCTGATGCAGTGGTTCCTTAGTTGCTGGGTACTTATTTTCCCCACATTAGAGCAGAGCCTTGTCCCAAGCAGGATTCTGTCCATGCTGTGACATTAGGTGTATGTACCCTTGATTCCTCCTGAGCTCAACCTTCTGTTCTCTCTGCAGAAGTACATGCATTCTTCATGCTTCCTCCCTCCTGCCCTCCGTGCCCACGTACATACACAGACCCCTCACTCCTCCGCAGTGCACAGGAAAGGGAAGGGATTTTGCTCCAAGTTTGAAAAAACAATCTCAGAGAGAGTCAAAAAAAGTGAAGCTTTGGGAAGGTGCCAATATGTCTATAGGTCATGTCTGAATGTATTCCCTCTGCTTGTATGTGGTCATATGCAAAATATTTGAAAAATGGAAGCAACAATTCTAAATTCTTCAAGAGAAATGCTTTGTTCCTACTTCATTTTAGGTACAGTATAGTTAACAATCAAACCCAGCAACTTGATCACAAACCTGCGGTGATGTGGAATTATAAAACTTTACTTTTCAGTTTTAATTATAAGCTACTGCTGGAATAACCACCCTGCTTTTATCTCCTGCAGACAGCTGACAGGGAGTGTAGAGCTGTGCACACGGTAGAGTGGGTTGCTGCGTTTTGCAGACGCGCCAGCCTGATGCAGTCCCATGCTGATTTGAGGTCAATCCTGCAAATACTCCCGTTCTGTAATTCCTCACGAGTCCAGTTGCTTTGGGCTCTTTGGCCCATGCTGCCAGCTCTTTTTGTGTTAGAGAAGAGTTTTGCTGAGACCAAGCTTGTGGTAGCTGAGTGTTTGCTAAGTGTTTTTGTTACAAAAACAACCAGCTGCAGAGCTCCTTTTCTGAAGATTACATAGCCTTAGCAAAAGTGGTAAGCCTTCATTTCCCCCATTTTACAGATGGGGAAACTGAGCACCAGAGGAGATAAAACTTGCCCGATTCAAAAGAGTAAGTCGATGAAAGGCCTGTATACACAATTGGCCTCTGGTCTTTCAGCATCACATCCCCTCACTAGGTTGTTCTTCACCTTCCCATTCCTTTATAACAAGCTGATGTTTTCCTCTTCTGTGTTTTTGGGTTTTTTGATATGAAAATACATTTTTTTCAGTTTGATTTCCGTAGTAGGCATTAGATACATTGTTCTCCCCCAGCCCTTAAGATAGAAAAGTTCAATCAAGTCGGGCCCTAAAGATAGAAAAGTCCAGTCAAGTCGGGCCATCAGATACTGCGCAGGTGCCTCAGAGCCTGCTGAGGTGCTTTCATGTTTTAAAACAGCTTTGTTCTCCTCCTCAGGTGTTTGGCGAAGGAGTTGACTCAGTAAAGAAGTCTCTGGAAGGGATCTTTGATGATACAGTCCCAGATGGCAAGGTAAAACACCCACTCCCCAGCCAGGCGCATTCCCATTCGGAGCCAGCTTGGATGCAGCTGCGGGACCTTGGCGGGAGGCAGCTCTGCCACGGGGAGCGCCCTGCTGGCAGGGAAGCCACCGCGGATCGCGCGGGACACGCAAGGCAGGACAGGGAGCCGGGAGGAGCAGCGCACCCTCTGCATCCTGCAGCCTGGTGCCCTCACTGGGGATTTGAGCAGAGGTCCATGGTCAAAATATTTCATCTGGAGACCAAGGGGAGGTGCTAGATACAAGAGGGTTATTAGCACTCAAGGGAAGCACCTGCCCTCAAAGAAGGACGAGGCTCCACCAAGTCTGCAAAATGACTAATTATGGTAGCCATATGGGGTTTTCATAATTTAGGATTATTGCAGCTAGAAAGCACAGATTTTTTTTTTTTCTATTTTGCTTTCAAATGCTTCTGTGAGGTTCTCCTTTGCAGTAACTGTGACAACAGAGTTCTCTCTGCCCAACTATAAAACAGCATTAAGGTGGTGCCAAGGTGCAGAATCCTAATGTAGTAAATATGGTTTTAGCCCCATGAGCCCACTTGAAGCCAATAGGCTTTGTGAATCTCCATCACTTTTTGGAGATTCACACCTTGAGATCTACCTTGGATGCATAAAACACAGGAAATTCACAATTTGGTGTGCTATTTTGTCATTCTTCAGTGTAGGAAATGTGGCACCTACAACAGCGTTGCTTGTTTTGGATCTGATAACTGGGAGATACAGTGCTCTGAAGTTTTAATTTTCAATTTCTCTTTTAACCTTATTATTGTTATTGTTACATTCTTAGCATTCCCAGTAGCCATAGGGTGAAATCCCAGGATAGGTGCATTGCACTAGTGTAGCTGTGTGGGCGGCATGGGGAGGCATACTTTATAGCTGCTCAGGTAAAATACAAAATTTTCTAGTCCAGACAAGCCTTTAATCTACATTTACGAATGAAGTGTCCAACAAGAGGACTTACGATGGAGCATATAATATTCCTTATGCTTATTTTCAATGGAGAGATTGTTTGGCTGATAGAGTTACAATGGATTCTGTGTGTTCAGAGGGAGAAAGAAGCAGCCCTGAGCAGTGTCCACCAGCACAACCCTGACTGCGATATTTGGGTTCACGAGTATTTCACCCCGTCGTGGTTCTGCCTGCCCAACAACCAGCCGGCTCTCACGGTGATCCGGCCCGGGGACTCCACGAGGGACGTTCTGGAAATGATTTGCAAGGTACGGCCCGCGAGCGCTCCACGGGCTGCAGCTCTCCTGGGGCAGCCTCTGGGCGGCTCGTTCGCACGGCAATGCTTGGGCTCCGCGCGGTGTTTGAGAGCCCAGCTGCACGGCAGGAGGAAAACCTGAAGCATGCTGAATTCCTCAGTAGGGCTAAGTTAGCACTGCACTCTTACAGCTGCAGCCAGGCTTGACGTGAGCGAAGGGAGAAGGATGTGGGCTGCCTTGTGTCTTTCTCTCTCTGGATGCTGTGCACGAGCCTATGAAGTGCCTCCATGTTCTTGTTCCTTCTTGCTGCCACTTGCTGCCTCCCCTGTGTTGGAGAAAAGCTGTTTTGGGGACACTTCTGTCCTAGCTCTGCCTGAGCCACTGTCCCCCAGCGAGCCTGCATTTGCTGGGGGCCCACGGGGCCCAGCACTGCAGTCATCTGGCTTCCCTGGCAGCCCCTGCTGGACTCCGGCTGAGGGGACTGAGGGGACAGCGAGCTCTGCCCCTACCTGCTCCCTCCTCCCTCAAAGGAGTGGGGTGGTATCACCCTTCCCAGGTGCCAAGTGGTCCCGGTGTCATTCCTCCCTCCATCCCCTGCCGCTTCCTCCCGCGCCCGTCGGGCGTGGGGGAGGAATTTCGGAGAGAAAACAGCCGTGGAAGGAATAGATGAAGTTGTTTGTGTTTACGGTTGCATTGCAGAGTCACGTTGGCCTTGTGTGGGTGGCAGGAGGGAAGTGAGAAGAAAGCTTTTATCTGCATGTTGAAGAGGGGGAGAAACCCACCTGGATTCCTTTGCAAAACGAAGTATCAGAGACATATGGCCATTAAAAGAGTTACAGCTCAGCAGTGAAGTATAAAAGCTTTGACAAATTAAATATAAGCTTTCAGTTCTGGCATCCACATAATGTATGTTTTCCACTGAGCAGCTAACTGCAAGCTAGACCCAACTCACATCACGTGCTGTTCTGAAAAGTGAGTCCTCTTTCTGTACAACAACAACAAAAGAAGAGAAAACATTTATTTCTACAAAGAGCTTAACTTTGGGGACTTTCAGAACACGTTGCATGTGTTTCTGAAGAGAAGGAAGGTGAGAGAAAGGCGTCTGTTTAGAATAATTACACAGTGTGCTCATCTCTCTGCCAGGTGCGCTATTAGAGTGCTGCAGCTCGTGAAAGCTCCTCATTGTAGTCAGGAAAAGATGACATTTTGGGAGAGAGACATAACAGGGAAGCTGGATGACACATTATTAGTAATGTTTTATTTTTAGGATTTATATTTTCCTTTGGATAAGATGATTGACTCACTGGGCCAAATCCTTAGCTAGTGTAAATTGGTGTAGCTCCATCGCTTTCACGAGTATCTGCTGAGGGTCTGGTCTCTCAACTGGGTTTTGATTGCTGTGGGTGGTGGTGTATAAGGAGGTGGGGAGGTGGGTGAGTGTTTTGTAAAGAGCTGTTATCTATTTCTTTCCTTTCTGTTAGAGTTTTCATTCTGGAAAACACTGATGGATACATTCTTTTCTATAGCAATTAATAATCAATCTCTTTCTTCTGTCTCTTGTATTCAGCTCATTTTTCCCCCTTTACTATCTGATCCACATCATTTCACATCAGTTTGCCATCTGCCATCTGAGAGCCAGTGAAGTTCTGGTACAGTAAACATTTCAAGATCTACATTTCATATAATCCTCTTCATGTTTGTAGATGTGGTTAAATCTATCTGTGCTGTTAAACTGAGCTTGATTATTCAATGGGGGAACATTAAGTGCACTCAAATCACTGTAGAAAATATGTTCTTATACTAACATTGCTGCTTGTTATTATATAGTGAGTTAGGTTTTGGAGGCTGCTTCGTGACACTTTTATTACTCAAGATTAGCGGGGCAAGGAGTCTAAAACGTATTTTGAAGTGGCTTCTTGATGATTTTTCTAAAGATTTAACTAATAACATCATTTGGAAGGCAGGAAAATCGGTATATATGCATTAAATCGTTCCCTATAGATAATATCTAGTAGTGTGAACATGCATATATATATTGCTAACATTTGCATAATGGTGTGTCTAAAAATTCAGCAGAAACATGTGCACTGCATATGGATTTAGGCAGAACCCTTATGGAGAGGACAGTACCCAAACTGGATCTTGGAAGACTCCATGGCATTTTTATAGTGAGCTGGGTAAAAAGTGAGAGAGAAGTAAAAAAGATTCTATTTCCTCCTGATTTACCTTTTCCAAAGAGACTCTGTGTGAAGGGCAAGAAACAGATTGTTGTAAGTCTTTTGATCTGGTGCATCTTCTAGTGAAAAGCTTGGGCCCCGCAGGTGCGAAACAGGAGTGATACAGCCGGTCCCTGGTGTGAAGGTGAAATGACATGGGTCCAGGAGGACAGGAGTTCCCCGAGATGGGAGCACCGTTTGTTACGAGTGCCTCTGCATCCAGATCCTTTGCTAAGGCAGGAGGCCCTTGAGGGAACAACAAACCAGCTGTCTCGGACCTGTCTCAAGTCAGGAGGACTTGAGGAGGCTTGGAGGAGCCTGTCCCCTGCTTTAGTAAGAGGGCAGCCTCAATGGCTGAACAGCTCAGAGCAGGCGCTGAACTTTCACGCTGCTGGGAGTGTGTTGAATTGGATTGAGCCCCAGACCATAAATTCTTCTTCAGGAGCATTTCAGTTAAGCTGTCGAGTTGTGTTTTAAATGGGGTTAGCAGCTTAATCTAGTCCAGACATAGCCAAAGTTATTAGGAGAGAAATAAATAAACCAAGACGCTTATTTGGACTGCTAAGAAGTGTTTTGGGTGGTCTCAGAAGGATATTAACATCGTTAAAGCTGTACTCTTTCTGCCTCCACCTTCCCACATATGGATGCAGCTGAACTAGTGACAAAAACAAGTGGCTAAAGATCAGTGTGTAGGGGTGTTGAGCTGTGTCCACTTTAAGAGGACCTCATCCTTTCACTTCAGTAGAAAATCCTGCCCCTATATTTGAAACAGTTTAACTAATGCAGAATTTCTAGGCAGACAAGCCTCACTGCAACTCTGCACATTTTAATTAGCTAAATGCCCTGGCTGCACTGTTTCAGCTTTAATGGTGATGACTTGCATTTCCCCACTTGGACGAGGTCACACTGCGCTAGATAAATGGCATCCACCACAGCTAATGGTATTTCTTGGAGGCAAGCAAATGGCTCAAAATATATGGGCTTTCTTCAGTGACCCCGTTAGATAATGCAGAGCTGTGGAATTCATCAGCACTTGGTCACAGCAGCCACCATCTCTACGTTTGGCTCCCTCCTGATGCCCGAAGCGGCCGGCGCAAGCGCTTTACTCCAAGTAAATGCCCCTGTGAAGACCCTTGTGAGAATGGGGACCCCGGGCAGCCGCAGATCACGCTGGCCGTGGGGATCGCTGCCCTTTGGGGCTGCCCTGGGAGCAGGCGGACGCGAGCTTGGATGCTCCGAGCGGGAGGCTGCAGCGCTGGCGCCAGCAGGGCCAGGGCTTCTCAGTGCAGGCTCCGTGCCCTGCTAGTGTAGCTGCTGCAGCTGCTGCCCTGGAGCTGTGCTGCCCCCGGAGCACTCGACTTGCGGGCTGCCTTGATCTGCTTCCCTCTGCAGCAGACTGTGATTTCTGCTGGCTTTCCAAAGAGCCCTCTGGCACCAGAGGAATGTCTCCTTGCGTATCCTGCCCAAGAGGAGGACGCTCGGCGTCGCGCTTTGGGAGCTGCAGGAGTGCACAGCTCTGTGTGGGGCCTTCCCTCCACCCTGTACCTTGTGAGGTTTCATACAAGGCAGCGCAGTAGCCTCAGATGTCAGTAGCCTCATTCGGCTGCAGCCAAAGGTGAGCGAGGGGCAGAGCACGTGAGGGAGCTTTGGCACAAGACCCACGAGCGGGAGGAAGAGGCTGCGAGGCTGCCCGCTTCATCTTTCTGCTAGGATAATCATCCCTCATAATATTTTCCCTATTAGTTTTGTCTTAGGTGACGCAAGCATTCCAGTGAGGCTTATCCCAGCTTTTTCCTCATGTGTCTTCTCTGTGTTTTTTTTTTTTATTTAGTTCATGTGCAAGATGTTCTTCAGTTGTGTCTAGGACTCACACATACCATTTTCGAACAATTAAAGCTGTTTCTGATTCCTTTTTTTTTTTTTTTTGCATTTGTATGTCTGTGCATATAAGAGGAAGCTGGTAAAAATAGTAAGCACCGAGTGAGACATTGGAAATATTTTATAAAAATAAGAAAGAATAAAGGGGAGAGGGTGAGAATGATATAAAAAAACCCTCAGCTATTTTTGTGTTGGCTGCTGATTAAATTTTACATTAATTTAATTAACTACAGATTTGTCCAGATCACAGAGGTTACCTTGTTTCAGATACTCAGTTCCCCATCAGGCAGGCTTGGTGTTTGAACTGCCCGTGTTTGCACGTAGCATTACGCAGAATGCAGCGGGAGGTCTAGCAACCGTCATTTTTAGGGCAGCTCTTTCTTATTCACAGGTCAATCCAGACTTTCAGAAATGAGTATTAACGGAAGGCCTCGCTGGGTCAGCGCGTGGTCTTTTCCACAGCCACTCGCTGTCCATTACTCATAATCTGCACCCTGTGATCAGTCAGCTGAGTCTCCGTGTGTCATCTTGGCCTGAACCGGATAAGTGAACCTTTAAAAAACGCTAGGCCAACAAATAATGAGTCAGAAATAGTGAGGTTCTTGCAGGAATTTGCAGATGGACCACTGCTTTTAGGAAAATCTGGGAAACTTGGGGATTTGTGAATAGAAAACATTAGACAAACGTGAAAGCCAGGTAGTAAGGGGATTCAGGAAGCGACAGCGAGGTGAATTTTGTTGTGAATCACTTTCGGGTTTTTCATGAGCTTTAGTCAACAGTTTATGAACTTTGGAAGTAACTTTTGAATAACATCCGTTGTGTTTATCATCTTTCTAATGTGTTTTGATTACACACTGCATTAACCTCTGCTTAAATTGAGCTTATTAATCGTGCTGAGAAAAGGTCATTAGCATCTCCCAGACCAAATGCCGTCTCCTCAGCTAATTATAACTAATTCATTAAAATGGTGTGACCTGTCTCCACTGGGATGTAATCTGGTATGCAACTCCTGGCTTCTGTAGCTGTTGAAAGCTAACCTGTCCTGCACTGTTTCAGATTTAGAGGACAAATACAGGTATATTTATATAATCTTGCTTGAAATTTTCCACACCATACCGACTTGCTAAATTATGGAGAAGCTAAAAATCAAAACAAATAGGAAAACAAAAGTCTCCAGATACTTCTTTTTTTGGTAGCAGAACATTTGTTTTCCTCCTTGCCATTTTAAATGCCCTTGTGTACGAAGGTTTCCTCCGATCCTTATACTTTACCAAAGTTTGCTTAGTTTGGCCAAAGCCTGGAATGGAGTGGAAGTGCCAAATAAGCTGAACCGAAGAGGCTGCGTAGGGTGCTAACTCTGCCCTTGAAATGAGCATTTAATTTCTGGGGAAGAAGAAAATGTTCAGGTTCCTGTCTAGGTCAGGAAGCCCTCAGGCCTCTTTGGAGAGCTGGTTCTGGGGCAGCCCCCAGCTCCTCCTCTCTGAGGCTCTCCTTCCATCCCGTATTTATAGTTAAGTCAAGGCGTTGCTTTTGTCTCCTAACTCCTCTTCTGCCCTTCTTGCAGACGCACCAGCTGGATCCCTCCGCTCACTACCTGCGTCTTAAGTTCCTGATCGAGAACCAGATGCAATTTTATGTACCAAAGCCAGAGGAGGATATCTATGAACTGGTAATGCTACCTACAGTGCCAAATGAAATGGCACTTTGTAGGACACTATTAATTAGTGGTTATCCAGCGTTCCTAATTTGCAGAGTTACGCTTCTTATCTTGAAATTAGACTGCTTTGCTGGCCGTGGCAAGTTGGCCAACAGTAAAGCAATTTCACAAAACACTGAATCTTCAGAAAAGAGCTGGCAATTTGCTTTTGGACATCATGTGTGTCTCATTTGCTTTACAGTCGTAGAACTGAGGCACAAATATTCCTTGTTTAGGTGGCTTTGTCTGACTTGTTAAGAAGGGGGGTGCGAACACATGATTTTTTTTTCTTTCTTTCTTTTTTTTTTTTTTTTTCAAACCAGGAAGGTAGAAGTTGAGGTTAAAAAGCTCTGGAGCTGTGTGTGAAAATATGCTTTCCTAATTGCTTCAGTCAGATGTTTTCATATCATGGATCTCAACAGCAGACTTCAAAGGAATTCAAAAATGAGAGATTTTTTTTAAAAAAAGACCAAACAGAATTAGTGTTGTGTTTCAACTCTGTAGTTTTACACATGCATGCTGTAAAGCTTTTTAAAGTCTTTTTTACTGGTAGCTGTTTTATTTATAAAAAGCAAAACTTTGCCAATTATGAATGCTCTTGTTCATTTAGTGATGAAGTTCTGGGGGTTGCCATTATCACTGTTAAGAAAAGGAATTGGTGAGAAATAGTGGAACACTAAAATTGGAAAATGAAACACAGGCTGGGAAGAATTAAAACCCAGAGGAGATAGATTTTAGGTTTGATTGCCTGGAGGAACTTTGGTGATTTTTCTAGTGCTGAGGGAATATAGAGTTGACATAGCCATCAGTTACTGTTTATTCTGAACACTTGAAATTAAGTCAAGACTCTGCAGTTGGAGAGACTTATCTGTGCACTGAAAGATGGAAAGATGCTGCCCAATCCTACCTAGCCTAATGCCATGAAGACAGCTTGCATTTGAGTGATTGCCTACTTGTGTGTGTGTAGTTATGTCATGGGAAAAATTGAATTACTGCTATTTAAGTTTGATTAAAGGACTCTCCTGCAATATGCTATAATAACACCTGCATTTTTGTACTCTCCTGAATAGCTGTTTATAGTATTATTTAAGATTGATGTCACCTTGATAGAGCTACATTCCTTCTAATAAAATGCTTTTAAAATACATAACTGCAAAAAAGGCAAACATAATTTCTTGGGATGGTATTCCTTCTTCTCCCAGAGCAAATCAGCTGCTGAATTTAAGTCAGAAATGGAGATTAAATACCCATTTTCCTTTCCTCCTCCAAAGTTATAGGTGACGCTTTGTATTCTGATATAATCTTCCAAGAATTCACAAGCTCACTTTATTACACGTCAAAAATATTACCGAGGGCTCAGGGGGAGGATATTTAGCAGTAGGTGTTCGTTCTGACAATACCTTTAAGTACCATTTATTGTGAAATAAGTGTAGGAATGTTTTGGCTGACGCTCAGCCTGCCGGACTTCCCCCTTCGGGTGAGATTCAGGGCCACTGCAGAGCACCCCACGGCTCGGATGGGGAAGCGGGAGAGCAGAGGCCTCCCCGCGGGGAGCACCGGGTCCTCACGGCACAGGGACACGAGCGCCGTGTCCCGCGCTCAGCTCAGCCGAAACCTCGGGATCCCACTTACTCGCCTCTCCTTTGGGGAGGTTCTTGCTTGCAGTGGCACCTTGGGCTGTGCACAGGGAGTCCTTGTCGCCCCGTGGGGGCCTCCCTGCTGCCTCCAGCAGGGCAGGATGGATCTCGCTGCTTGCGTTGGCTACCTCGCTGCTGCTGCCCGCATCAGGCACAGTTTTTGTGCTGAAAACAGTGCCTCTGAAGAGTCAGTGGAAGCCATTTTTGCCTGTGTTTGCCTTCTCGTCCTTCTGAAACCACTGCTGAAATCTGGCTGAGATTTTTGTAAATGTCATTTGAGTTTTAAAAGAGTTTTTGATAGGTTCCTATACTCGAGAACTTCATTTTAAGCATATTGCTAGAAAGGCATCCTCACTGTAAGCATTTAGATAGGTATGTAACTGCTCTGTAGTACATAATAGTTGTGATTAAGTGCGTGCATAAATGTCAATAGAAGATGGAGATAAAATTCATATTTGCAGTGTCTTAAACACCTGTGGCCATGATTTTTCTTCATTTTTTTCCAAAGAAGAATTGGTGGTTTGCTACTTCAATTCTAGCCTATGCTGTGGAAAAACAACTTCAGCTCTGTGCTGAGCCACAGGCTTCCTTTATAGCTTGGGGTACATCAGGGCCAAAGACGTCAGGTCAGAGCCGCTAAATATCTGGTGACTTTGCCTGGAAAAGTGGAATTTCCCTATCATCTCAAACAGTGTGACATGCACCTATGCAAGGGCATTTGTTACAACTAACAGTTTGTGACACAAAGCGCAAGAACGTCAGTGAGGTAAAAACACAATTCCTGTTCCCTTAAGCTGCACGCTCTCATGAGGGATATAGCCCCGCAGAAGTGCTGCTTAGCATCTAAAGGGAGCAGTGAACTGGGAGGATACGTCGAGACTTCTAGGGGAGTACTTGGAGCTGTGCATTTGGTCTGGTCTCCCCGTGAGGATGTTTATGGTGATTTCAAAGGCTTGGGCGAGTGGTTCAATACCAATAAACACATTAAAGGTGCAACTATTTGCTGAAAAAGAAAGAACTATACATTAAATCTGAGAGTCTTATAATTAAAAATGTATTTAAGAAGCAAAATTCATATGTGCTATTTTAGGTCTATAAGGATAATTAAATTCCTGCAATGTCTTGTTAAAGTAATATGAATAGTAACTGTTAAATAAAAATGGTTATTAAATTTAGGAATTTAAGGATTGGGGGCCCTGTTTCTTGTGCACTCAAAATTGCATTGACTGAGTAAAATAGATGTATCCTTGCCTTGATGTTGGCAGTAGAAAAACACCACATTCTTCTGTTTAAATGTATTCCTAACAGTAAAGCACAGCTCCCCTACTAATAAATTTCCCAGGTGTGCAGAAAATTGCTCAATAAATAAATAATGACCAGAGTCTCTTTCTTGCTCATGTAATTAAAAAGAAAAAAAAAATCTGTTCAAAATGAGTACAATAAACCTGTCCTCCTACGATAACATATTTTGTTTTGTTTTGTTTTCTATTCAGCTCTACAAAGAAATAGAAATCTGCCAGAAAGTTACTCAGCACATTCAAATAGAGAAGTCTGATGCCTCCTCTGATATTTACGGTAAGCTTCTCCCCCGCTCCCTTCTCACCCTCCTGCCAAGGCCGCCGTGGTGCGAGCAGGCCCCTACCTGCTCCTGTGGGGCGGACTCGGAAGGCCGGTTGAGCAGCGCGCGCGACAGCGGCAGCCTCGGCCCCTGCCGCCCCGGCGCGAGGGCGCCCGCGGGCTTCGCCAACCACAGACGCGTCTTAGAAGTAGTTCTCGAGCTACGTATCTGCAGAATTACGTGTAGTAATTCTGCACAGTAATTCTGTACAGAATACAGTAACTCCGTAGTAATTAATTTCATCAAAATCCCTGATTTTTATATTGAGGGGGGGTCGTGGGTTTTAGCTTTCCAGTATTTGAAGTTCTAGGCCTCCAGCCCAGTGAGTTTGCCCTTTGGTCTGGCAATTACAGTTCCGTTGTGGGTTTTTTTTTTAACATTATTCATGCACCCTACCCTACAGGCAACCGATCTGCATCTTCTAGTGTTTATCTAAATATTCTGTTTTAATGACGAGAATAATTCTGAATCCCCAAACTACTTATTATACAGCTGCAGGCCATTCGAATATCGAGCTCTGCTGCAAAGCAGTGGTCCTGTCTGTGGTTTGAGTACTGGAGGCCTAAGAAAGAACCAGAAAGCAGCACAGCAAGGGCCCTGGGTTCAATAACTATGCTGTGCCTGAAAGCACTGCAAGGGTTAGGGGTGCCTTGGCATTTCCTGTTTATTCCTTTCCTTTCCCTTTCCTTTTTTTTTTGTAAGTGAAAGAAGGGCAAGACAATGTGATGTTTGTGAAATGACATCAGCTGTTTGAGGCATGGGGTATAGCATATAATTTCAGTGACTGACCCTGCACAGAGTGAGTGCTAAATGCCTCAGAGCCAATCCTGAGCTGAAAGAAATGGCAAACCTTATTTGGCTTTAAATGGCAGCAGAATTCCTCCATTCCATACGTATCTTAAAAAAAAGGTGCTCTGTGTTCACCAAGTGACAAGTGTGTTCTGAAATACTTAGATGTGGGGGGCAGGAGTAAGGTGATACAGGTTGACCCTGCCCTGGTGCCTGGCATAAGCTAGGGTTCATTTTGAGTTCCTTTCCAGTCTTGTATGTTAAGGATGTTCGAGTTTTTAGTACTTAAATAGTCTTTTTGCAGAATTAACATTGGCAGGATGTACGTTCACGATCTAGAGGGAAAGCTAAGTACCTTCGTGAGCCACGGCAGCGCAAAGACCAGAGCTTTATTGTTTTGGCATGCATTATTTTAACCAGAATCCTTAACGGTCCTTGCTATGGCTTTGCTTTTTCAAAAGCCTTAATCAATAATATGACTGCACCGTTTCCAAGCATCTAAGCACCCACATAAGTCTTTCTGTGAGCAGGGCTGCTTTGGGGATTGGTTCTGAAATAGCTGGGCAGCACTCGAGGCTCACGGGAATTTCAACAAGTGCGTTGGACTGGGTCCAGAACCAGTACCACAGTTGATATGTTGAAGGAAGGTGGGCAGTAAAAACAAGTAGTCATCAACTCTTCTCATACTTTTTACACATTTTGAAAACATAGATCCACAGTAACTGTACCTGGATATCTCCAGAAGAACTAGAAAAGTGTTCATTTTGAAAATGTGTATGGTTATGGAAATCATCGGTGACATTACCCATTGCTGTTGCTAGTGGTACAACTATAATAACAATAATACTTCTAAATCGTCTTGAATTTTTAAGATATTTCAGAAGCAGCTATTAATTAAACCTGATAACGTAGATTTAGTGCTGTTAGGTCCATGTATCAGACAAGGTATCAGAGGCAGAAAGGTAAAAAGCTTTGACATAAGTTCAATTAGACAAGCCAGTTCAGCTCACTAGCCTGGCAGAAAACTAAAATACTAAAAGTGCATAGTGGTTTTTTTCTGGCTTTGCAAGCTGTTTCAGGCCAGCTAAGAATTTCTGGTGGGACCTGCTACTTGGGGCATTCGGAGGCCTTCAGAGGAGCTTCACTGCCACCTCTGATGGCAACTTGAGTTCCAGTGATGCAAAGCAGACAGAGCAGAGCGTTTCAGGGACATTGTGCAGTATTCCTACTGCCACTAGTGTCCTTGTGGTAAGAGACACTCCTGAGGTGTCTGGCCAGCCTGGTCTTTGTTAGATTTGTCAGCTTGTTGCTGTTGCTGGACACATATGTACTTGCCCGCTTTCACTTGTACCAGCCTCCCTCCACAAGGTTGTGTGGGCAGAAGTCACAGGGCACCATAATAAGAGCTTGTTGCATCCAGCCACTGTCTGTACATGCACATAGATCTCCACTGCATTTTTGTTAGCTATGTCTCAGGGGCCTAGGTCATTCTGTGAGCATGCATTTGCTCAGGTATTATGTTGGTTTTGTGTGCCGTGGCCATTTTTAGAAACAGACGTTTGTCCTCCTGTTATCAAAACTTTGTAGCAAAGAAAAGGCTCTGTCTGGGACACAATCCATCATTTTAGACCTGTGTTTTAGAGTTGGTGTGTGGTTTGATAATAGTCTTTTTGACAGTGGTGCCAGCTTATGCAATTGCTGCCACTTGTTCCCACTCCTGCCATTCCTCTCATGCAAAACTAGTGCAAAGTGTTTGTGTGGAGCACCTGAAGGATTCATCCAGATGAAAACTGTAGTATACATGTATGCGTATAAACTATAGAATCATAGAATCATTAAGGTTGGAAGGGACCTCTAGAGATCATCTAGTCCAACCCCCTGCTCCAGCAGGGACACCCAGAGCATGTGGCACAGGGTGGCATCCAGGTGGGTTTGGAAGATCTCCAGAGAAGGAGACTCCACAGCCTCTCTGGGCAGCCTGTTCCAGTGCTCTGTCACCCTCAACTGTCCAGAAATTTTTCCTTAAGTTCCTGTGGAACTTTTGATGCTTAAGTTTGTGGCTGTTTCCTCTTGTCCCATCACTGGCCACCACTGAAAAGAGGCTAGTCTCATCCTCTTCACTCCCTGCACACATACATACATGTATACCTTGGGCCAGGCTCGGCTGTGCTAATCTCTGCATTTTGGCCACAGAAAGAGTTTGAGATGCAGCCCAGCCTTGGTTTAACTGCAAGGTGCTTTGAGTGAAGACAGTGCTGTAAAACAACATTTGCATTTCAAAAGGGTGATGGTGTTAGCAATTGGTAATTTGTGCTGACTCCGACTACAGTCTTGGGCTAAATGCATCACTATGCTTTTGGTTTAGGACTTTCAGGTAAGCTTTGCAATCATGACAACCAATAGTTACTATATTTTACATCTATTCTCTTGTTTAGTCAAGAGTTTTTCACTCCACTCCAAGTAGATATGTTGAGTAAGCTCCACAATTTTGGTTTCAGTGAGGGCTGAGAAGTCCACATGCAGATTCCAAGGAGCTCAGTAAGTCGTGGATCACCATATTCTGCCAGCTTCTAGGCTGCCACGTTTTTCCCCCTCCTTCTTTTTTTTTCCTTTGTTCTTTTAAATGTTGTATGAAAAATAACTTCTCATCTATAAACATCAACTTAAAGGGTGCCCTAAGTTAGAACAGGCTCTTAGCACATCTCCTTCCTCCTAGATGGTGGCTGCTTCCATGTTGAACAAATGTCTCCCCCAGCAGGTTTGTAAGTGTTTTTCTAAATGGAAAAAAGAAAAGAAAAAAAAAAAAAGAGAGCAAATGGTTGCCTACCCCCATTTAGGGAGTAATGAAGTTTCAGAAAAGCAAATGTTCTACTTCAGATAACTCTCCACAGTAAATAAATAAAACCTGTTTAACTAAACAGTTTCCTTTACACATTGCTATCTTACACAATCCCAGCTCCAAATGGCAAGAAAATCACTGATGGCAAAACAACAGTACCATTTGCACTGCTAAAATTCAGGCTGCGTCAATACTTCCACTGTAAGGCTGTTCTGTGGGTTTATGACACAGCAATAAAACGTGCGCCGAGCTGAGCCTTGGCAAAGAGCAGGTCATGAGAGGAGCAGCTGAAGGAAGAAAGGGAGCGAAGAGGAGGCAGCGTTTCTGCAGACCCCAGGAGATGCTGGGGCTGGAAGCCGCAGGGTGCGCTCGCGCCGCCCC